CACACACACACACACACAGACATCCCACATAGAAAAATCCAGGTAAACTCACACACACACAGATGTAGGTTTGGAGACAGATCAATCAATGAAAAGAGCAAGAAGAGACACATTAATAAAATTTATATAATCCTGACCTATATAAGACATTAACCAGCCTAACTGTTTTAGACAGATTTATGACTCATAATATATAAAACACTCTGAATCTGATTTCATTTTGAGTTTAAAATAAAAAACATCAGTCTTTGCTTTGTGTGATCTTTAACTACTCTGCAACACTAGAATCTTAAACAATCTGGCTCTCATAAGGTCCTATAGCTGGTTGCAACAAAGCTGTCAAGTGGGGGAAAAAACCCTTAGTGATAATTTGTTTAGAAATGTAACTGGATTTTCTTAGCTTAAGAGGTTTGTTGCAGCTGGTCCTTGGGCTTAAACTAACATGAAGACCAAAAATACATCCAAAAATATGCATTATTGCGTGTGTGTGTGTGTGTGTGTGTGTGTGTGTTTGACTGAGCTATTGGACAAATAAGATGCTTACCGGACATAATAATGAAACTCTTAGGCTGGTGGTTGCTATTTCACTGTCAGGGTCTGCTGTTAACTTTTCCTTTACTGCAGGACATGAGCATAAGCACACATTAGCAACTGAAAACACACAGGGATTTTTACAACTGCATTGTATTAATAAATGACTTAGAGTTATTAATACAACTGGAGAAGTGAAAGAACAGTATGGTCAGATCATTTCACCTGGCGATAATAAAGGACTAAACACATTCACACCTACACTACCTTTCAGAAGGTTGGGTTCAGTAAGATTTTTATTTCTTTTTGAATTAAATGAATATTTGTATTCAGTATGGATACATTAAATTGATGTAAAGTCACAGTAGCGACTTTTATAATGTTAAAAAAAGATTTCTGTTCTGAAACTTCAACAAAGAATTCATCAAAGAATGCTGAAATGTTTTACAATTTCCACAACATATTAAGGAGCACGCACAATTGTTTTCAACATTAACTATAATAAGAAATGCTTCTTGAGCACTAAATCAGCACATAAGAATGATTTCTGAAGGATCATGTGACACTGAAGTCTGGAGTAATGGCTGTGGCAGCCTTGGTGAGCATTAGAGACATTTCAAAAACAACAACTACAACAATCTTACCAATCCCAAACTTTTGAACAGAAGTGTATATTTATTAAATGGGTTATCGCTGGAAAAATTTTATATTCACAGCCATAATCTTCAACAGTCATCACTGTTACACTTTAAAATATTTCCAAAACACTTGTTTGTATTTCTCAATTCATGTGAATGAATATTAGTGCTTCAGAATTTGGTTGAGCTGCCTCAGGCTGGTGTGCTGTAGCTTGTTTACAACAGGGGCATCAGGGCATTCTTTCAGAATTAACAAGCCTCTTCAGACAGTTTATAGGTTGCTACATAAAATCTGAAAGTATCATGAAAAGTTTGAAGGGCAGACAAGAACAAAGAGCAATCTGTGTAGAGTGGAACTGTGATGTTGCATTTCTGTCAGTGATTAGATGAACTCACTTCACACTACGCTATATAGAATAAAAGATATATATACAATCAAGCACTACTTAATCTTAATAGCCTTAAGAAAATGACTATTGACTGGAGTCTATGGAGCATAATTTTTAAGGTTTTAAATTGGATAAAATAAGACGCCAACAAACTTTTAGTCCACAATATAGTTTATCTTTGCCATGAAGAAGGAACAAGAGGACACAGAGACTATTTCTGTCTGAATTTAACTAGCAATAAAAAACTCCATCTTCAATGCCATCTTTAGATTGCATAACAGGGGAAAAATTAAAACTTAACAGTCACTTCACTTAACTGTTCAGTCACTGAAGTTTTCATTTAGCAACTTGTTCAAACACAGAGGTTTCAAAATTCACATCTGAGGCTTCACTGCATGTAACATTTTAGAACTAAACGTAAAAACCTCTGCAAGTAATGTTAAACACAGACCTACACTACTGTTCAAAGGTTTGGGGTCGGTAAGATCTTTTTACTGTTCATGACAGATGTCTCATTCTCACCAAGGCTGCATTTATTTGATCAGAAACGCAGTAAAAACAGTAATACTGTGAAACATTATTACAATTTAAAATAACTGGTTAAATATATTTTCAAATATTTTTTACATTTTGTTTTTCAGGGTTGATGAATAGAAAGTTCAAAAGAAAAGCATTTATTTGAAATAGAAGTGTTTACTTCACTTTTGATTTAATGCATTCTTGCTGAAGTCAAGTTCTTTAACAGGAAATAACAGTAGTGTAAATCCAAACTGTAAATCTGCTATTCTAAAAACCCAATGGAAATTCCAGAGGAAACCCATAGCTCAAAATGCTAATTTTCTCCAGGTTTTAGGACAACAAACAGAACATCTCTATTTCTATGGAGAATGTGCTTACTGAGTGCTCTGGAGTGATCTGGATTTCTGATGCCTTTAGCCCGCAGCCTCTGCAATAGCATTGTAGATGACAGCTGTTTGACCAGGTACAGTGCCATAGAGTAACTCTGAGAAAACAATCCAACAGAAGATACTTCACTAGAGGCACAGCGCCATCCCATACCTCAATCCAAGCAACATTTTATAACATAGTAACATCTTCATAAAACAGCATGGAGTCTATATTTTAATGTAAGTTAACATGTGAAATATGTAATAATTTATGGAATAACTTATTAACTGTAACATCACAGTGAGACAATGCAATACTAGTGCTAGAATATAACAGAATGGGAAAACCTACTGCAGTGAAGAAGCTTCTTCTAGGCATCACTTATTTATATTTTCAGGTCAGATCTTACATCACCGTTTTATCAGTGCCATATGAACAGGTTCTATAATAAAGAGCCCTTTAGATTCAGTGAGAAGGTACAGCAAGAGTGAAAAATTTAAGGAATCTACCACAGAGAGCGCCAGGATTGCTTGCCAAGGCAAGTTACACGATAAGGAATGACATCATTCATGAAGCTGAATATTATATGTAGGTGCAGTAATGTTTTATGCACAAGAAGATGAATATGTTAGCTTATAAGATATAGGGATCTGTGGATGAAGTAATGAACTCCTGTCTGCCTACAGTAGTCTCAAAGTAAACAGTGACCTTTTTTTCCCCCCAAAATCTAGATTCTTCTTCTTAATATTCATTAACTGCTAATGGACAAGAGCCTTCATCCATCACAAATGCATTTCTAGAACATATCAAAGGTAAATGAGCATTCACAAAGATCACAAATGATTTCAGATAATGTATTAAACTGCACTGAAATATTTACGTTTAGCTTAGACCACAACACACAGAATAGACAAAGCATTTAAATTACTAATATGCAAGTTAACTGTTTTTGTTTGATGTCATATCCATCAATACTCTACAAATAGCCTTTTTGTTTTTCAGAAAAATGACTGAAATAAGGGCATCAGAGCAACAGTGATTTTTATTTTGATATTCTTTTTAGCTGTGCCTCAAAACGTCACTCTGAGAAAATACTAAAATACTGCATACATGCTGACCTTTTCACATAAACTGCATATAGCCGATGCTATAATTGGATATCATGTGACTGCAAATGGCTGCAAGACATGTATAGGGTGCTAAAAATACATTTTGATTTCAACAAGAGTTCCTGTAATAGGCTTGCTTGATTTGATTAGACCACAACTTACTTTCCATCTTTTCCCATAAAAAGTGGAAGAACCATTATTAAACAAATGTTGTAGTACTTGTATTCACAAATTGGGAGAGGGAGGGATTACGATTAACTTACCCGTCCAATTTCTGAGGTCCAGGACACTACAATGGTGTTGGGGACAGTTGTGGAAAGTTTGACCAATGAGGTAATGTTGATGGGTCTGCTGGGCCTCTTTGGTTCCACGCCATTTTTGGTAGGAGGCAGATATCCCTGGTGAAAAACAACGAATGAGGAACTTATATGTTTTATTCAAATAAAAATATTTAAAAGAAAAAATACAATTTTCAAACAAACGGCATTGTGAAAATGTAATTTAGTGTAGAGGCCAACAGTGTCTCAACCATGTGTCTCAGATTAGAATGATGGATAGATGGACAAATGGACTGTAGTTTAACTTACTGGGAGATTACACGGTTTCCCGTTGACTTTAACACAAAGATTAGGGGGGAAGTGGTCCTCCTGAGGGCAACTTGTCTCTGATAGACAAAACCTGGATTAAGCAGAAAACAGCATGCTAGTGCTCTGAAGTTTTATACAGTATCATATTTATGCAAAACATTTCGGTGTATTAGAATGAGAATAGCTTACCGTAACTGTACTTGCACCATAAAGTCACATTTGGTCCCCGATATGTCCCTATAAAAAAGAAAGTTGAAAACTATTCATTTGAGATAATAAATGAGCCCAACATGGCATCACACAATCAGTACCTTATAGAAACTCCTCTTCTTATTTTGGGATTTTGCTTTGTAACATCATTATATAATTTCTGAAGGAAATATTCTAAATAAATAAACTTACATTGAGCTGCTGACTTGTTGGACTTGCTGTGGCGTCAATGCAAATGCAAAACATGTTTCCTGAAACCTCTGGCTGTTATCTGAAGCTGCGGAGAGAAAAAGATCCAAAGAAAAATAACTACAATGAAAAAACCTTACATAAAACAAATCAATTTCCATAGCTTACATTTAATGCTTACTGTGAACAAAACCCAACAAAACTGTTCATGACTTTGAGCTGAGTGAAAATGTCATAGGTTTGTGGGCTCTGAAAAATCAGTTTAAATATGCAAAGTATTTCAAACAATCCTAATTATTTAGATAAAGTCTTTTTAATGTTTCATTCTCAATAGCAAAGCAAGATTTTTATCTGCATAATTCCACCCATATGTGGGGGGGTACAATCAAAGCTTGAAGAGTAATATTACAGTCTTCTCCCCCCACTCTGATCCATGTTCAGCTTAAATAACATCAGTGTTCCTTCAAAACAACTTTTTCTGGGAATGCTCATATCATTCCCACTCAGTTCATTTCCATTGTCATCGAAGGGAGAAACTCAAGCTGTTTTTTTCCCAAAGGTTCAAGGACAAGGTAAACAACGTGTCAAAAACCATTATGGTTACAGGCGGCCCTCTGAAACAGTTGCTATGACGGAGAGCATGTTTGAAAACTAACTATTATGTGAGGATTGTTATTGATTGAAAAAAATTGTTGTTGCGCTACCAGATTCAGCCCTGCAACAACTGTGCTGTTAATTACATTCAGTAACAATAAGACTGTTATAATAACAGTCACAGATCTGCATAAGCTTCAAGTCCATTTAGAAATAACATTTAGTTCAGTTGATTTTATTTTGTTTTTGTTCCACTGTCTTTAGTTTAGTTCTAGTTTTTCATTTATTTAACAGATTGCATTTCAGCTTAAAATAATGTTTTTAAACTAGGGGTGTCGCAATATACTGGTAACCGTGACGATATCCTTGATATTTAACAAAATAAATATTGATATTATGTTAACACTACACATACAATAATATTGTAAATAATCTAGCTGTCTGGTTGACACTAACATTGTTGCGTTGACACTAGTTGCGGGGGTATTGCACTTTAACCTTCATAAAATGGAAAAAAGAAGACAACAATGACAAAGTGTGTAGCTTCTACTGCACAAAGTCATGTCATCAGAGATGATGGACAAAAGAGATACTCTACCTACACCCGAAAAAAAAATTCTTGCCAGTGTGGAAACTTTTTTTGGAAAGATACCCCAATCAGAAGGAAGTGCTGATCAGCAGCAAGTTCTCATTATACACTTTTACTCCGTCATGACAACTCTCAGAAAGATCAGCATAGTAATACACATGGCAATGTTAATAATAAATATGTATAGGTAGATCCCACATTCGATCGCTACAGACACGTTGACCACCATCTTGCAATGGTCAGTGTTGTCAATCACAATACAAATCAATGAGTTTTGTCAATCAATGAGATTCCACAACATTGCACAGCCTGTGGTTGTAAAAACTGCCAAAATTTAAATTCCCAAAGAAACTGGATAAACTTTCACATGTAAGAATGTGTTGGTTTGTGATTTTAATATGTATTAACTCAATTTTAAAGCTTTTTAAACTATAGTAACTTTTTTAAGTAGTGTTAGCTAATGGTTTCGTCTTGTTGTATTGTGTTAGTTAAGCAAAATCATCTGCTGAAGTCTATTGCAGATAAAGATATGCATACAAGCGTACTGTATAACTACGGTTGCAGACACACAGGCAACAAGTCATAGAAACAGCTGCTAATAGGGCACCTACCTATACATATCTATGATGTTAATGTATTTGGTCTTGGCGGAATAGATCTGCTACACTGCTGCAGCAGAGCAAGTACAGCGATTTGCTAGGGAATGCTCATATCATTCCCACTCAGTTCATTTCCATTGTCATCGAAGGGAGAAACTCAAGCTGTTTTTTTCCCAAAGGTTCAAGGACAAGGTAAACAACGTGTCAAAAACCATTATGGTTACAGGCGGCCCTCTGAAACAGTTGCTATGACGGAGAGCATGTTTGAAAACTAACTATTATGTGAGGATTGTTATTGATTGAAAAAAATTGTTGTTGCGCTACCAGATTCAGCCCTGCAACAACTGTGCTGTTAATTACATTCAGTAACAATAAGACTGTTATAATAACAGTCACAGATCTGCATAAGCTTCAAGTCCATTTAGAAATAACATTTAGTTCAGTTGATTTTATTTTGTTTTTGTTCCACTGTCTTTAGTTTAGTTCTAGTTTTTCATTTATTTAACAGATTGCATTTCAGCTTAAAATAATGTTTTTAAACTAGGGGTGTCGCAATATACTGGTAACCGTGACGATATCCTTGATATTTAACAAAATAAATATTGATATTATGTTAACACTACACATACAATAATATTGTAAATAATCTAGCTGTCTGGTTGACACTAACATTGTTGCGTTGACACTAGTTGCGGGGGTATTGCACTTTAACCTTCATAAAATGGAAAAAAGAAGACAACAATGACAAAGTGTGTAGCTTCTACTGCACAAAGTCATGTCATCAGAGATGATGGACAAAAGAGATACTCTACCTACACCCGAAAAAAAAATTCTTGCCAGTGTGGAAACTTTTTTTGGAAAGATACCCCAATCAGAAGGAAGTGCTGATCAGCAGCAAGTTCTCATTATACACTTTTACTCCGTCATGACAACTCTCAGAAAGATCAGCATAGTAATACACATGGCAATGTTAATAATAAATATGTATAGGTAGATCCCACATTCGATCGCTACAGACACGTTGACCACCATCTTGCAATGGTCAGTGTTGTCAATCACAATACAAATCAATGAGTTTTGTCAATCAATGAGATTCCACAACATTGCACAGCCTGTGGTTGTAAAAACTGCCAAAATTTAAATTCCCAAAGAAACTGGATAAACTTTCACATGTAAGAATGTGTTGGTTTGTGATTTTAATATGTATTAACTCAATTTTAAAGCTTTTTAAACTATAGTAACTTTTTTAAGTAGTGTTAGCTAATGGTTTCGTCTTGTTGTATTGTGTTAGTTAAGCAAAATCATCTGCTGAAGTCTATTGCAGATAAAGATATGCATACAAGCGTACTGTATAACTACGGTTGCAGACACACAGGCAACAAGTCATAGAAACAGCTGCTAATAGGGCACCTACCTATACATATCTATGATGTTAATGTATTTGGTCTTGGCGGAATAGATCTGCTACACTGCTGCAGCAGAGCAAGTACAGAGATTTGCTACTGCCAATACATCCACAGACATGCTGCTGTGAGCATGTAAGAAATACTGCTGCTGCACATATAACTTACATGAATTTACCCAGTAATAGATCTATAAAGGTGGAGCTGGGGAAGGTGAAGGGTTTCTAAAATGCACAGCAAACTGCTACAGCAAACACTGGCCAAGCATTTGAATGTTGAGCACCAAGCTCATTGGCTGCTGTCTGATGCAACAAAAGAGTGATTTAGGACTTGATGGCCTGCGCCATCTAGAGTTCCATCAATGATAGAACTTTGCATTAATGGTTACAAACTGTCTTCTCGGTCTCCCCTACACTTGTATTTTCAGTGTGATTCATTGGCCAAAAAAACAAAACAAAAAAGCAAACACAAAATAAACAAAGTTAAAGATGAATTTGAGTGATAAAATTTTTGTTTTTCCAAACTTTCTATTGATTTGCAATAACACTGTTATTCTGAATTCCTTGTCTACGCTAATTGAGTAGTGAAAATCTGGTATCGTGACAGCCCTATTTTAAAGCAGCCGAGAGGTTTCTGAATGAACTGGTAAACATTAGAAACATTAGAAAACCTGACCATGTGAAAAAGGAAGAAAGACTCTCTGCAAGTCAAAACTACTGTGTCATTCAGTAACACCAACTCAGATGTACACTTCTTCACTTTTGCACTCTTACACACAAACATAGATAAAGAATGATCTTACTAATGCGAGTGCTCTCATCCAGAGAAATCTTCTCTAAAATAACATTCACTGCAGCACACTGACACAAACTCAGCAGAGCCAAACATCTTCACACCAGTCATTTAAATGTCTCTAAGTGCAGAGGTTCAGTTTTTCATATCATGTAAAACTAACACAAGCCATGCACTCACACCCCATTTCCCTCTTGATCTCTCTTGCTCAGCTGGAGTGCTTAGTGACACAACGGATATGTGATATACTTAAAAATAACAAATAATAATACAAATAGATGCAAAGCTTAACACTGTTTTTATACAGCGGTTCCACTCATCGAATTTGATTGGCCAAGCTGCATTCTAAAACGTCTGATAAAGAGTACAACAGCACTGTAATGTTTATTTGCACTGTCTGTAAGGGTGCTTATCGCTACGCTTGTTTGTGGCGTTCCAGCAGAATGGAACTGAGTGAAATATTTATTCTGAATTTACATTGAAAAGTTTTACACATTAAGAAATAAATGTTTCTGTGAAGAGTCTGAATGGTGTACACTCAACATGAGATGAATTCTCTATTTATGATAGTTTTCTATAAAAAGTGTTTTAATTATAGGTTCCCTCTTAGTCTTAGTCTAAATGGCTGCCCACTGCTCCGGGTGTGTGTTCACGGTTTGTGTGTGTTCACTGCTGTGTGTGTGCACTTTGGATGGGTAAATGCAGAGCACTAATTCCGAGTATGGGTCACCATACTTGGCCACATGTCACTTCACTTTCTTCTTTCTTCTTTCTTCTCTTAATGTATTTTGCCATGATGAAATGATGTCTCCCGCAATGTTTCACTAAAGGTCAGAGAAAATCCCCACGGTCATTGGCTGCACTATTGTAGTATTGTTTGGTGATGCGAAGGGTGAAAATTAGACAACAGAACACACTTATTATTGTGTTTTACCAGCAAAAACAATGGGAGAATAAGTACCTGTACGACTGAAGAAACAGAAAAGGACTGAAGCAAGAAGACAGAAAGACTGACAAAAGACAAAAACAAACGCGCGTAAACATCGGTACGGAATACAGAAGGTGAAAAGATGTTATGAAGGAGAAAATAGTGATAGTAGTTATGCCTAAA